AACTATTGCGCGCTTCGAAAGCGCTTCGAGAGTACTTGAATTCCCCAGATTGTACTAACCGTACTGAATTCTTAGCACTCCACTCAGCGCATTGACTGCTTCTCTTTCGACCTGAGGCAGTTGATGCGTCTGATGCGTTCATGCGGTCTATGCGCATGATTTGTAATTCGGAACGAGCAACGAGTACCGGACAATACAACAGTGAACGGACGAATATTTGCGATTTGCGATGGAACAGCGATTACAGCAATTGCATGATTTCCCGGTCTTATTAGAGGATAAAAATGAAGTATTAACTTTATTTTTAAATGAAGAGGATATGGCGAAAGTACGCCAAGATAAAATTAATGGCATTATTCAACAAAAATTAAAAGGGCGAAGTAAGAGTCAGAAGTAAATTACATTTAAAATAATATTAAAATGTTAACATATTTACAATAGAAATATTACAAAAAATTGCTTAAAATTAAAAACATGCTGCGCGTAACAATTGTTATTATTTTAAATGTAATTTACTTCTGACTCTTACTTCGCCCTTTTAATTTATGTTGAATATTGTTATATTAAGAGTCCTTGAATATTTTCATCAAAATTAATGGCATTATTTTATCTTGATTTATTTAATGTATAGATAGACGTTATATTAATTAGGAATTACGCGATCGACGTAATCTATAATTTTTTCAACTCTAATTTGTTTTCCACGTAATTTATCTACCATTAATAGAAAAAATAACTTCTGCATATCACTTAAAGATATGCCTTCGACTTTATTTTTACTATCGCTCGAGTCGGAACTATCATCGGAACTTTCATCACTTTTCTTTAAAAGTATTAAAAAAGAAATTACAATTATTGGAAATTGTTTATTGACGTCTTGTAAAGCGTCCATCTTGAACTCGCATAGAATGCATAGGAAATCGTTCCGAGTAACTAAAGCGCTTCATGCGAATTGACTAAACGGAACGATTTCAAAGCTTACGCACGAGTAATGCAGTATACGCGCTTCATGCGTAACTCGGAACGCACCCACTGTGTCACACAGTGTTACTGTGTTTCATAGCTGGAAAGCACCCTATATTTTATTTTTATTTTATGAGTGGTAGAGTAGGGATAGAAGAAGCGACAGTCGCAGGCACCATGTTTGTAAGAAGCAAATGGTGATTCAATAAAGTTACGGATATTAATCAAACATACCTTGTATATTTATTCGATAAAAAGAGTGTCCGCATACACATGTGAAATGTTTCATGAGACGAACAGTAATTCGTCATTTTACATGGTCCTTCGAGCCGGATTCATCTTCACAGCGAAGGTGGTCCAAAGGAAGACAAGCATTTTGGACATCGGCGCAGCATTGGCAATAACCGTTATTGGCGCGGCAGTCAACACGTTGTAGTGTTCCTATAATAAGAGTTAAGACACTTCTTCTTCTTCTTCTTAATTAATGGCTCCTGTCTCCTTAAAGTGAGCGGAGACAATACGGCCAGATCACTTCTTCTTCTAAATTTAAATGGCCCAGGTTCCGGAGTGACCGGATAAACTTGGCCAGTCGTTTCCAAGACACCACCAACTCTCCACAGGAGGTCCCCAAAAAAGGAAAAGAATGATTTCCTGAGAGACTAAAGAGACTCCTAAAACACACGCGGAAAAATTGCCTCGCGCCGCACGCGGCCCCCAGCGGATCTCCACAGCACTTAAGCGCAGAAAGACACGGGGGGGGGATATACCAAGGGGGATGGGGGGAAGGAAGAGAAAGAGACTCTCCCCGACCCCCACCCCAGCGCGCGAGGTTTAAATAGGTAAATCAAAAGACTTAGCAAAAGCGAGTAGAAGTCTGCAAAATTTGTGACTAGGGTTGACAAGCAAAGTGAAAATATCATATGAATGAGAAGGGAATGTTTTATTAAGGTAAAGGACTAGTGGTCTAGCTCTGCGTCTTGTAAAGGGGCAAAAGAATACTGTATGGTTAAGGTCTTGTCTAGGATCTCCACATTCACAAGCCGGAGACGGCACCATATTTTTCCTAAACAAGCTATAGTTGAGGTTGTAATGATTTGACCTTAATCTGTTAATCAATACTATTTCGCTCCTGGTGAGTTTCTTTTTGAAATACCAAGGTTTAACAGTCGTAGACGAGAAATATAACGAGTGGTAGTGAGCTCCGGTGTGAATAGCCTTGTCGTTCAAATAATCCGTGAAACGAACACGGGCCTTAGCTACTGCCTGAACCTGAAGATCTGAGTAGGGGGTACGGAAAAAACCTCTAGCTCCGTCAACACACGCCTCTTTGGCTGCCTTATCAGCCAGCTCATTGCCTAAGATGCCCTTATGCGAAGGAATCCAAAAGAGGGAACAGTCGATGTTATTGTGTTCCAATTGAAGCAGAGTTTGCTTTATTTTGTGGATAATATAATTACCGTTAATCAATCTGTGAGACGAGATGGCTTGTAGTACGCTGCGGGAGTCTGAAAAAATGTAAATCTTAGAATAACCCGCATCTAACGTCAAAATAAGGGCTTGATATATTGCCCAAGCTTCCGCAGTAAACACTGAGGCGCTGCAAGTCAGCTTGTATTTGAAGCAATGTCCAAGTTCCGGCGAGAAGAAGGCCGCGCCCGCACATCCATCTTCCGTTATCCTTGATCCGTCTGTGTAAACGGTGAGACCGGATGGGTCTAATTCTTGCAGCCTGTCGTTGAAAGACTGAATAATTTCATTATCGTTGGATTCTTTAGAACATGAGATAAAAGATTCAAAGTGTTTACGTAAAATGAAAGCATTCAGACTACTCTCGAAAGCAGGAATAAAGTATGAACTTCTCAGATGTGAGATATCATGTTTGTTGGTAATATAACATCTCAGCGAGGGAGACTTTGCCAGCGCCTGAGCCTTTTGCGCACGGGTGTTAAGACTGCATTCCAAAGATTCGATACTGTTTATAACTGGGTGATTCCTCTTAGACATGCATTTAATGACAAATCTCTCACTGAGGAGATTAAATCTCAGTCTTAAGGGGTATTCTTTCGCCTCGCACAGCATGACATTTATAGGAGTAGACAAGCGATATCCCATGGACAACCTGATGGCCTTGTATTGTAACCTTTCGAGTTGGCGGAAAACTCCTGCATTACCCTTCCATGTGAAAATTGAACATGCATATTCTATAGCTCCCCTAAAAACTGATCGATATATGGTAAGTAAACAGTGGGGATGAGAGCCCCACCATACAGCCGTGAGAGTAGAGATGATGTTGACTAGAGCCTTTCCTTTCTTCACAAGATATTCCAAGTGCAGGTTTCCCTTTAATTTGCGATCCAGTATAACTCCCAAGAATTTGACCTTTTCCACTCTGGGAATGGGGAAGTTGTCTATAGAGAGAGAGCAGCCTGGGGCAGGCAGCGCCTTGGAGGTCGCAAAAATCATCCAGCTTGACTTGGAGGGGGAGAGGGATAAGCCTTTGGTCCCAACGTAGTTCGTAACTTGATTTAAGGTTGTCTGTATCCTGTCAACTGCCGTCTCGGGGTTGCGATGAGAAGTGAATATCACGATGTCGTCTGCATACTGTAGAAATTGTACATTTCTGGACATACAGGATCCAATCTTGCAGAGGGCGATATTGAAAAGCAAGGGGCTCAGCACTGAGCCCTGCGGGGTACCTTTGTACGATGTCCGTTTTTCGCCCAAATTACCTTGTTCCAAGAACTGCACCGATCTCTCGACGATTAGATTTTCTATAAATTTTCTAATGGTAGCCGGAACGCCAGCATCTTTCAGTTCGTCAAGCACAGCTGAGGGCAGAATGTTGTCGAAAGCGCCTGTAATGTCCAGAAAGACTGCAACAAAAAATTCGCCATTTGCTATTGCCGTAAGAATCTGATTCGTGAACGTAACCATGCTATCATTGCATGACCTGTTGGGACGAAAGCCCATTTGCTCATTGGGAAGAATTGATTGTGACTCAATCAGCCACACCAATCTCCAGTATATAATTCTTTCGAATAACTTAAGTATGCACGATAAGAGAGAGATAGGCCTCATTCCAGAATTACCGGCTTTGGGTATGAAAATTACTAAAGAAGATCTCCATTCGGTGGGGATGACTCCCTCTTGAAGAAAACTGTTGAAAAGATCGACTAGTAGCTCTCTGTATTCAGACGGAAGGTAATCAAGCATATTGTTGCTGATTCTATCTAATCCTGGGGCGGAATTGTTATTGGCTAGAGAGATTGCCATATCAAGATGTTCCGTGGTGATTGGGGTGTCGAGCTCCTTGAATATATTTTCCGATTGTTCATCCTCCTTTTTCATATCGCTGAGACTCGTTGTAATGTTATGTAGACATGAAGGCGGGCATAATTTTTGAATTGCCTCACTGGTCAACTGCCTCTCCTTGAAGTTCCATGTTTTCGCGTGACATTGATAGATTGCGACGTTTGAATGCTTTAACTAACGACCAGAGTTTGGAAAAAGGAGTTTTTGCATTAAAAGTACCCACAAATTCTCTCCAACTTTTCCTTTTTTCCTTATAGAGTGTTTTGGAGCATTTGGATCTTTCTCTTTTAAATGTAAGGAAGTTTAGAATTGTTGGGTTACTTCGCCACTCTCTAGCAGCCGCTCGACGAGCTTCTATAGCCTCTTGGCATTTGTTCGACCACCATGGAGGGGCGGCTCTGTCACTTCTGATCAAGGTTAAACTCGGGTTAGATTTCTTGGTGGTAGAGGAACAAGAGAACGGCCAGATCACGTCTGTGCAGATTACGTCTGTGATAGAACAGTAACGAGTGATGCAATGCCCGCGAAAATGGCGTTGCTCGAACGGCCACCTGACGCCTGCGTCTACGGCGTCGTCACACCGCAATAACGCGCGCCAGGAGTCCTAACCGTCGAAATATCGAACAATCGAGACGAGCCCATCCGCGGACACCCATCGTTGGAATTTAATTGCTCAGTCGAAGTCGGCAACACTTTCAAAAATATAAATTAAAGAGCACCCGAACCGAGACGCGTCCGTCTCGGTCGAGCGGTTCTTCGGAACTGAGGAGTTAAGACACAGTATAAAGCGGGGAGCACAGACTTTTGCATAACGCATAAACAATATACATAAAGAATTTGATTGGTCCATTGACTCATGCATAAGAAAATGGACCAATGAAATTCCTTATGCACATGCTTTATGCGTTATGCAAAAGTCTGTGCTCCCCGCTTAACCAGTAACGACAGTTAAGCGTCGGTACCTTTGATGTTGCGGTTTACGAAACACGTGACCTACAGCCATGTCCTTAATTGGAAAAAGCGCCAAATTTCAAATAATAGATATCGTAAAATTAAAAATATTCAAAGTAAAATATTAATATTTTAAAAAATAACACTACAAAAAATAATAAATATTTTTGAGATTTATTTGTTATTATATTTTATTAATTACTTATGTAACGTTATAAAATTATAAACAGTGTGATAAAACATACTTAAAAAATAAAATTTCATATAAAATAAATTGCGTATTTTATATACATATGTGGTAAGTCAAAAAAATAAAAAATTCTCTTATTATTTACTTCAAAATATGGTCGTTCGGTAGTAACGCCTAATTTTTCTGATATTTGTACAAAATTACTACCCATGTCGCTAATGAAAGCAATTACGTTTAATCCAATATCTTGTAATTTCACAATAGTCTCTAAAATAACTCTTCTTACATTATCAGCTTTAAATGTGGAATTGAGAAAAAAATAACCTAGTGGCTGTTTCCAAGATTGATATAAACCTCGTAACATAATAACAGCTACATTACACGCTGATAAAAAGGATTTGCCATGTTCATGATCTTCAAAAACCAACAACTTTATCAAGATGGATATTATAAGTAAGATTTGCTATTAAAGCAGCTTCGCCCATACACATAATACAGAGTTTATCAACGTTATTAAAATTATATATTTTACTTTTTAAAACATGAAAAATATATAATCGTGTAATCCTGGTAAAATTTTTAAATTTTCTATTGAACGTTGAAGTGTTCTTGAGGTAGGTAAGTAAAAAAGTACAATTTCATGCTGACGCTTGACCCTTATTTTTAGCGTCAAAACAGATCACGTGATCAAAATTGATGCTTAATATTCGTCAATTTGTATCACTTGATCTGTTTTGACGCTAAAAATAAGTTTCAAGCGTCAGCATGAAATTGTACCTAAAAGTATAGATTGCTTATGTTACGTCCAAGCCCCAGGATTCTTTATTGCATAGGAAAATTTAGGAATTGAGGAGGGGGCGTGGGAGGACGCAACTGACACCGCTCTTGTGGCAAACGCTCCAAGAAGCGTGCCACAAGTCAGAGACGCAATAAGGTCACAGATATGGGTCAACGTCAGCGTACGACGCTATTACCCGGCCCTGTGACTGTGTCTCCGTCGGTCCCCTTTTTAGATCAAGGAACTTAATCCTTTTGATCTGGGATCGGACCGTGCGATTTCATGGGATGAGGAATGAGTCGAGGGTAATTTCGAATAAACTACAGCGATATATATAT